ATACATACATACATACATACATACACACACACACACAAGTATGTTGACACATGAGCATGTACACATGTATGGTGTTGCTGATAGACTCAGGATGGTTTGGCTTGGAAGCTTGATGGATAACTTCTAATGGGAGAATTTATTTTACAGTGGGTGGAGAGCAGAAAAGCCTTCGCAGTTGTTTCTGAGAACGATGAATCAGAAAGTAGCATTGTATTTAGTTTTACATAAGAAAAGACTGATGTAACCAAGTCCTAACGTACCATCACTTCCACAGCATTTGTCTTTTCTCATTTTGAGGAAGTGCAGCAATGACGTATGATTTGAATTTCATTAGAAATTAACTATTTTATTGTCTCAATCCATTGTTCTTCCGTTTGCTTAATGGCAGAGAATGACAACCCTACAGTCTAATGGTTGATTCTGGAGTATAGCTATCAAAAGTTCATTAGGATTTTAATTCAAAGACATAATACATTAAAAAGAAAGAACAATTCCAACACGAAAGAAGCCTGTTTTGCAAAGAAATATGTGTAAATTGTATGCAAAATCATATCGGTGTGCACAAATGACACTAACATCGACAAACTTGTTTGCATGTGTAAACATGACATTACGTACGTATACGTGTTGCAGGCACAGGGGTGAGCGTGTTCTCCCTGCACCCGGGGGTGGTGCAGTCTGACCTGTGGAGACACCAGCACCAATGTATCCAGGTGGCAGTGAAGATCTTCAGGGTTTTCACCAAGACAACACTGGAGGGAGCACAGACCACCATCTACTGTGCTGTGGAGCCAGGCCTGGACAGCCAGAGTGGAGGGTACTTCAGGTACACACAGTACTTCAGCAAACCTGCAATTGGTTATACAAGATCTCTCAGAGTTAGACTTCATGCTGCACAGTATTACTACCTGCTGCACAGTATTACTACCTGCTGAGTAACAAAAGGGTAAACTGTTTGTAGCTGAGGGTTAACATTTTTTATTCTTATATGAGAAACAAACACAGATCACAGAGTGTAATGGTCATTCTCTGTCCCGGACAGTGACTGCACTCCTGCTGGGTGCTCAAGGACGGCTTCTGATGAAGACTTGGCCCAGAAACTGTGGGAGATCAGCTGCAACATGCTTGGCATCACCTGGCAGTGAACGGTGTTAAATTAGAAGAAAAGAAGAAACCCTTTTTATTGTCATATACATATACACATACACGAAATTTGACTTCTGCATTTGACCCATCCCTGTATATAGGGAGCTGCATTAACTGCATAGTGAAAGGACATTGTATGCTATGTATCATCTGTTAAAGAGCACTTTTACGCACTTTTATATAGGCATTCATGTTGCTGTTGCTGTTGCTGATGTGAAACAGGTGCTTTTTATAACTCAAAGTACAGAACAGTTCAAAAGTCAGAGCTCTTTTATTTTGTATAAATATCAAAATGACAATTTTGTCATTGTATTTATCAAAGAAGCATGACAAAACTGTCTTTTTGTACTTTTACTGACCCATGTGGGCATTCTTTGTTTAGACAGTTTTGTATCTTGACTGCAGTCGCTGTTTTATCTTGTTGGCTTGTAAAGATGTTAAAAGGCGTTAGCCAGCACGGTCTTGCTTTGGATGAAAGTAGTTACTCTCTTACGTGCTGCAAACGTTGAGTTCCAGTGTGGTGGCGTGATAGTTTTAGGCACTGATGAAAACAATTTAGCTCTACTCTGCCTCCAAAATCCATTTTTTTCAAAGTAACATTTTAATGAAATTCTGTACATCTGTGCACACATACAGTATATTGGTTGATAGTTAAAGCACTTGACGGATGACAGATATGAAGTGAGTCCTGTTCTACTTTTGTAGCACTTAAAGTATTATACATTTATTGATCGGTGAAACATGAACCATTGGTCTAAAGTTATGCCCTTTTTCATTGAAATGTTTCATCGGACAGCCTTGTATTATCTGCAATTTCAGATGCCTTAGAAAAACTTAAAATTATGTTAATGTGATGAAAATGTACTGTATGTAAAAATTAAACTGGACTGGCAAACATATTGCAAAGTTCTGCTTGTTTGTGACTTTTACCTAAGTTAAGTTAAATTACTGAATACCTGAGTTCTGAGTTAGCTGTTTCAGGAGCAGTAATGTGACACTGGGATAACTTTAACCTTTGAGAGTTAGCAGAGATTAGGTAAGTTTAGTGTAGTAACAAAGAGAATTAAGGCTCTTAAAGTCTCAGACATGCCACCCAAACAGATGAACGAATTTCAATGTGACTCACTAAATGGTCGATTCATTAAAATGACAAATGTAAAAAAGTAATGTTGGAATCCTGTTGCTCACTTTGCCACTTGATTGAGGCCCCGTGTATAGAATGCAGTAGACTGCAGCACACATACTTGTATTTTGCTGGACGTGAGTATTACTGTGAGTGAGGGACTTGTACTATAGAATTAGTAGATTAAGAAACAAAGATCAAGAGAAAATGCCAGGATTCTAAACGGTATTTTAATCCAAATCACATGACTGAGTATTTAGGACTAAAGGAATGTGGCATGAGCCGGAGGAGCGGTAACAAGGAGTCAAGGACCAACGCTCCCTCAAAGCAATGTGTGTAGCCTGTAATGGTTTAGATATATAATCAAACTCACCAAACAACAATATCCCACCAGTCTGCTGTCCTGTGTCCAGAAGTACTGTCACTCTAATTTGAAAAACATTTCTTACTTTTATTCTAGTAAATTGACAAATATTCGTACTTATCTGACTATATGGAATTACTGTTCTTAGTTAGTTAGTAAGACAGATCCCACAGCTGCCCTGCTGTGACACAATCATACAGTCTGAAGTTTCATATGCAGCCAAGGATCGAACAAGAAAATTAACCATAATGTCATCAAATTAAATCATCACAACTATTAAATTATAAAGTTTACACAGATAAAAGCACAGTAAATAGTGCTCTGGGTTGACATTCAACAGAAATATAATATGTGGGGGAAAAAAAGTATTTTCTTTGTCTTAAAATAATTCAGCTCTCAAAGGTGCTTTTATGTCAGAATAAATCCGGATATCATTGCCAGAGACTAGAAAGTGAGTGCCTCTGCATTAACACCTCCTAGCCGCTAGGTGGCAGTGTGGACAATAATTCAAGCTGAAATAAAAAGGAGCATGAAGACCATACGCATGCGCGTGTTAAGTATACGTCAGCTCTTCTCTACTAACAAGCAGCCCAAAAGCTACGTGGCCCTCATTCCTGTCTTATCGTCTCACACGACCTCAGAAACAGGTAGGTTGAAAGCTATTCTATTCAATATTATGTTTTACACAAAGCTAATCCACTTACTGCTGTGATAGCCATCGTGATATAATGTTTTATTGATTTAATTTCCAACTAACCGAACGACACGTCGACCTGATAGCCTTTCTTACGATAACGTTAGCTTAGCTAACAAGGATGCGTTATCTAACACAACTAGCTTTAAGATACGTGTTTCAATGAGAAGGGCACATATCTTACATACATACTGGTAAATATTTGATAGGGAAAAACAGAACATAGTGTATATTAACCATTTAATAGAGTGATGGGAGTCTTGAAAGGTTCAGGCTGCTGAAAGTCAACGTCAGCAGTCGACCCACTTCCAGCTTTAACGTGTATCTGTTTGTATCGTGTCAGCAGCTTGAGCACCATGGATCAGGTGATGCAGTTCGTTGAGCCCAGCCGGCAGTTCGTCAAAGACTCCATAAGGCTCGTGAAGAGATGCACAAAACCCGACAGAAAAGGTAACTAAAGGTTTTTACCGTTTCCATTGGGCCCGGTCTCTGTTGTGTTGGCAGCAGCCTCTACATTTCCAGACTTCAACTGCTCTCATCAAAGATTGAGGGATCCAAGGCGCAATATGAGTTTTTTTTTTTTCCTTAAGTTTATTTGTATTATTTTGACATTGGTGATTTTTGCCTTCTTTCAGAATTCCAGAAGATTGCCATGGCCACAGCAATTGGGTTTGCCATCATGGGTTTCATTGGTTTCTTCGTCAAACTCATTCACATCCCCATCAACAACATCATCGTGTAAGTAGCAGTAAAACACCACTTACTTGCATGGTGATTGTATCGTACAATTCGTTGTTGGTTATTTTTTTACAGTTAGGGGTTGTCTTGTTATAGGTTGTGCATGTCCCGGCTATCCAAACATTTTATCCCAGTGTCTCAAATGATATCTGACCTCTCCTTAGAGAGGGGGGGGGGGGGGACGGGACTCCCTGTTCACAATCAAATGCTTTATTGTCTCGATCTACTCACTGCAAAGATGTTTAAATAAGTCAAACTGGGTTTGTAAAAACCCATTGAAAGGTATCATCTGTCCAACATGTTTGATTAGAATTTTACTCTGTTTTTAAAAATCCCATTTTCTGAAGTATTTGTAGTCTAATACTATCCTGAAAAATGAATCCTTAAATAATTTAAATACCACTTCTTTACCAGAGCTGGAACAGGCTCATACCATTGAGATCCCCCTTTTTGAAAACCTCAATTTTGTATCATAATGAACACATGATCCCAAAATAGTATTGTTGTACAACTAGCATGGATACTCTACGGACTAAACTACAGCAGATCTTGGTCTCAACAGCAGTCGAGCAGTTATGATTTTACTTTTGGGCACCGTAGGATATATATAATCCAAATACTATTAATTTAGCCTGTTATCTTAATAGTGAGAATATATAGTTTACTAAAGTGTGAAGAAAGTTGTGGTACAATCGTAGTGGTAACTGACACACAATAATTGTTTTGGGAGGCAGTTTTCTTAAGCAGTGATTGTTTGGTTTGCTCGGTCATTCCGACTGTAGTTGACAGTAATGTGCTATTTCGCTTTGTCCAATCATTAACACTGCTTTTCTCGTTTTTCTGTCTAGTGGTGGTTAAGTCCTGGTCATGAAGAACACAAACTTCATTTCCCGGGGACAGGAGACGGTGGTGCAAAGTGTTTATTGGGGACTAGAGGGATGTCATTTTTACATTCTGTGTACAACATTTATATTTCGATGTGTAAATAAAACAAATTGAAACACACACTACATTTGTCTCTTCAAGTTGCTTTTTTTTTTATCACTATAACATGTAAACAACTTTACTGGCTTTCAGAAATATTGTAAAACTGTCATCAAAAGGCACAAATAATTTGAAGCTGGGTGAACAATATTTCCTCTCGTACTTAGCAGAAGCCCTGACATCAAAGGCACATGGTGTAGTCTGTGATACAAAGCAGATACCTGCACACATTTAAAGAAAGATGTACTGTAGGTTCAGCAACGTCTTTATCTGCTACATGCTGTCGGCTCCTTCTCAAACGTTCCCTGATATCAACATGTTTTAAAGGGAACCAGATGTTATGGAATAAGGCCTGGATTCAGGTCGTATATGGTTCATTTTGAGTTCAACCCTGCACAGTGAGGAAGCATATCCACACCAGTTAAAAGAATACAGTAAATATTCTTTATATTCCAACTGAGCTGATCATTATATCATAGAAACAATTAGGTGAGGTTTTATGGCCATAAGTAATAGCGCCGTCATCTTTTTCTTCCTTTGCCTCATCTGTAGCAGAGTAGTCGCATGTTCTTAGTCACATGTGACCCGAGGAGGAGGGGCTTCTTCTGTGTCAGTGCCCGTCCTCACAGATGCCCATGCTCCAGAGCAGGGGCTGGTCCGTTGTCACGGTTACAGGCTTTTTGGGGTTTCCAGGGGCAACGGGTTCATAGGTGTTGGAGGTGCTTACCAGCTTCCCAAACTGCAGGACCTGGTTATCTGGACAGAGGAGACAGACATGTGATTAAATGCAGGAAGTAATGAGGTTCTACTGCACTTAATGGCTCCTTTAAATAGTGTACAATTATTCAGTGGGTAAAAGTAGCTTCTTGTTGTTCCGTGTGACTAGTTATCTTATAATCATGCACACCGCCATCTGTATTTTCTGTTATTTGACTATTAATAATGCAGCTACATGTCAAAGCCTTGTTAGAGAGGATGTGGTCTGGATAACCAAAGCGAGGCGATCCACACGACTGCTTTATGTCTGAGCAAAGAAATTTGGGCCGAGCGAAGCAGTCCGGGGCTAAAAGGGCTCACAGCCAAAACCGCACACATTCACAAAGGCTATTATGCCAAGGCCACTGAGCATACTCCCGCTTTATGGTTCCTGAAGTGCCAACAAATCCTCTCAGAGAGAATCCCTCTGCGGCCTCCAACAGGAAAGGTGACCACTGAGTCAAATAAGATTTTTTTTGTGTGGTATCCTTTGCCAGCAGAGAGTGAACTCCACTTTTATGAGAGGAACATTTTAAATAAAGATACAATATTATTTATACATTTTTCCACCACATGATGGGCACAGATAAGTAATTTAGCAGAATATCTAACCCTAAATAATCTCACTATCAAGACCTAATGCTTTACAGGTTAAACCGTACAAGTAATTGATGCGATATGAGCTTTCATTTCATAATTCTATTTTCTTTGTGCTCCATTGATGCTGTTTCACTACGGGACACAATCTGTTCACTCTCGGTTTAACTAATTCGATATGAACAAACAAAATGTGGTGATTTGCCTGAACGGACACCGAGCCAACACTGACATCAAGTGGTCTAACCAGGAAGCTCAGTAGTGAGGGGGCGTCACATTCCACCAGCGAGAGACCGTCAATCACTCAGAGTGCTTTGTATTTTCTAAACTGGTAAAGAGAACCCTCTTAACATTTAACAAATGAATAGCTCTAACTCTCATGTAGAATATGAATTTTTTTTTGTGAGGAATGCATTCATGCAAAATAATGAAGCCTTAAGGACAGTAACAAAACCATTAAGCCGTGCTTCAGCAGGCCCGGATGGCAGAAATAGAAATGTGCTCGTCACCTTTTCCCATTAACAGTTACATTTATATACTCGCTCTGAGCAAGCTGAGCTGACAAACACCCTGAGAGTGGAGCTGTTGGATCGTGGCTAATGTGAAAAGGGCAAACTCACCTCAGGAGATTCATACCTGGGGCACTCTCCATTATTCATTCCCTATAATCTGTCACTATGTTCTTACAATCTGCAGCAAATTGAATAGTGAAGTATTCCTACCCCACAGGTCAGAAAATTCAGCTTTTATTGTGTTCGCGGTTTTTGTTTGTAAGACTTCCCAGAAAAGACAGAAAGGGTTCTGCTGTGGCTTTTAGCTTCAAGTTAAACAGCTTTAGGTTTTTTTTAAGCCATCACCTGTCTCAGCACCGTCATGAACCAAGACACACTGTGGCTTTTTTATTTTTGGTCTCTGAAGCACTCTGTTGCTCAGCTCTCTCCACTCTGGCTGCTAAAAGTATTGACCTTACTGTTCCTTTAGCCATTTTGATCTAATTATCTGGTTTGCCTGCTTGGTGTCAGTGCTCTATGAGCACAGTGAGTAGCACAGACCAGGGCTATAACTAGGGGGGGGGGGGGGGGGGGGGGGCAGATGAAGTTTTGTTTCTACCCGTCAATCATCTCCGCCCCATTAATAATTCTGTTATTTTCATTGGAGGGGATAGCATTGCCATCTGCGCTTATGAATAATTTGTGCCTGGACAAATGACCTTAAAAGGCACACATTTGTGACTCACATTCAAACAATATTTATACATCATATCATATTCAAACAACATCACAGGTAACAGAGTATTCATTTATTGTCATGTCTGTGCAGTTAAAATCAACCATGTAACATTTTACATCTTAAGTAAAGTCGCATCATACAGATGGATATACTAACACCACAGGTCACAACATAAGCGTTGCTTTACTCAGGTGAATGCAGTAATTACAGTACGTAGAATATGAAATGTTAGGTTTCATACACTTTGACTCAGATCTCAAAGGCATTACTGTAGTAAAAGTGGAAATCATTAAACTGCAAGTCTAACAACATTAGTTGCCAATGCAACTGTAGCATCAACATTTTTTGTGGGCATTGTATATTTTGATAAAATAAAAAAGAGCTTTTATATATATATATACACACACACACACACACACACAAATTCTCTTGAGTAGAATAACAAAACTAATTAATCTTACAGCCTCATTCGGCAAACGCTACGCCTCAAACATCACACTGTACAGTATATTGCACACTGTTAACCCAAACCAATATGTGATGATTGCATTGTTTCAACATCTTTTAGAACAAACAAAGGAAGGACAAATAAAGAATTTTATGAATATGCAAAAATAGTTTTGGTGCAATCACTTCATGCAAAAGCAAAATTGAACACAAAGGAACAAAGACTGGAGAGAATGAAGCGAATCATTTGTCCACAGGCGCCTGCACGCACATCAAACAGGGACACAGAAAAAGGAGCTATTCTGCTTCAAAGACTGCCACACAAGCATGGTATTAGACCAGCTCGACTCACAACCAAGAGTAAAATAAGCTGGATGGGAAGTTAGGGTACTTAATAATTGAGTGAACACAGAGCCACAGCGTGTAAGAGAATCATTTCCGACTGTGTTAAAGTGTCTGAAGTTTTCACTCTGCAGGGGAATTTGTTTTCATCAGCTTTATACCAGCTGAGCCACAAAGGTTAACAAATAGGTGGGAAAGTAAAGGAGTCGAGGCAGCTAGTGTAGTATTCTTTGTTATGCATGAGGGCATGCTTTTATAGCTCTCTTTGAGGAAATCAAAGAGTCCCGAGTCCGAATAGATAAATATAAAGATAAACAGGGATCTCTGTGTAGCTTCTCCTGGAAAACATCAATCAGCGTCTTATTCTGAGCACTGTGGTCCGACACAAACATGTCATTTCTGCTAACGGTGGAACCGTTTTGGTATTTTCCTGAACAAATTTCCCCATTTGTGTTTTTTTCTGTGGTTCGAAGTGGGCTGGGCTCAGTTGGAAAAGGGTGATGTCACATACAGCTGCGCACCAATTAGAATTTAGCAATACTTAAATTAATAATAAACAAAAAAACTAAACAAATGAAACAAAGTTTAGACTTTACCAAATTTTAACTTTGATTTTTGCTTATTTAGCCGTGAACATTTAATGTCAAAGATACTGAATAGGCTTCCAATAACTCTTCAGTATGTCCCAATAATTTAGTAGCAATATTAATGTAAAACTATAATTGAAAAAACAAACAAAAATGTAGCAGCAACCAGCATCAAGGTGCCATAAATGGGCCTATTAGGTTCCTCAGCAGGCTGCCAAAGCTGGATGGCTATAAAATGATCATAAGATTTTCACCACAGCACACTGACTATATTACAATCAGAAAGGAGACAACACAAAACACAAAAAATGAGGATGTTTTCAGGTGTAAAAAGTGATGGCTGGTGTAAATAACCAGACTACCACCAGAGGCAGCAGAGCACTACAATAAGGGCGCATTAGGATTCATGCTCAACAGGATGGCACCTACATTTACAAACACACATTATCCCCTCTGGCTGTCTCTCAAACACACATCTGTTTAAAAACATGCACCCGCGCACACACACACACACACACACACACACACACACACACACACACACACATACATATGCGCCTGCAAACTCTTTACCGCACAAAAAGCTTTCAGATGGCTTCATTAGTAATCCCCTCCTCAAAGCTGATACCGATCAATAACGGCCCCCGTTGCAAAGGCGACCGAAATGAGCGTCGCTCCCTCCAGTGATAACAATGGAGATGTTTGCTGCCTGTAATTGCATTTCCAGCGCCACAGCCGAAAGGGCCCGTCAGCTGTAAGTAGACCGTATTTACACAACAAATTACCCAGGAGAGAGGGTGGCAGAGGAGAGGGGAGGCTCACAGACACTCTGACTGCAGTGGACAGGTAGAGAGGGGAATTATGGGTGTTAGGGGGCATTTGTTTGCAAAGGAGAGAAGACTCTTGCTGCTCCATTTTTCCCTCTCGATGTTGAATTGCAAACAGGTTCTCAAAAGGCATGTTAAAAAGGTGCCGCATCAAGCGTTTTTTTAAACACCAAAACATTAGAGTCAACTTATCTGTGATATGTTAGGGCACTGTCATACATGGCCACAGTCTGGAAACCGGTGTAACCTGGAAGGTAATCACTGTAACCGTTTTATGCAGCGCAATATGGAGACGAGTAAAAGCCGCCCATCGTGTATTTTCTAAAGCTCATTTTACTAATCACTTGTAATGGAGGATGGAATTGTTCATCGACAGGAAAATGTGACACATCACACCTTTAAAATAACACTGAGCGAGTGACTGTGAGCCCAGGTACTCCAACTTACAACAAGCAGACCATTTTCTCTTCCCATTATATCTGAATGTGTTTAACCGCGACTTGTCATCGAGAGGCAAATTGAACCCATTCAGTCAGATCCTCCTCTCCTTTGGACCAGTGTGCTATCAAATTTCATCACGCTTCACAGTGTGAGAGAGAAAATCGTTTTCTATAAATCATGTTTGTTCAATACTGAGCTGTCCAATTACTAAAATGAGGTGAACGTATGACCGTGGTTTTTCTTTTTTTTTTGCACAAATCCTGCCCTTCTCTCGCCACCTTCGGAAAGACACCGTACATCATCGCAATGAATGGACGGTACAGAATCTATATGTGTTCAAGGTAGAACAAAAGAGCAATAACCTGAGAAATAATACACATTTATTGGGACAAAGTTTGATCTAAGGCCGGTTTCACCTCAACAATCGTGGGGAATATCGAGTCAAAAACAAAAACAACGATTCGTCTTTCAAAGACTTGAAATGAATGAGTTATAAGCAAACAGTTGTCAGTTTGCAGACGGATGAGGG